CCTTCCTTCCTTCCTTCCTTCCTTCCTTCCTTCCTTCCTTCCTTCCTTCCTTCCTTCCTTCCGTGTGGTGGTGTGTAACAAATTCAGCCACACAAACCACAGCTATATTGGGACCGGGTAACATCCTGGCCCAGTGCCTGGGGAAACAGCCAGGTCTTCATAGACCTCTGGAGGCCAAGAGGTCGGGGAGATCTTGGGAGGAGCTTGTTCTTCTGGATCTTAGTGGGGAGGCCATTCCAAAGGACAGGCACCTCAACAGAGAAGGCACAACTCGATGGTCCCTCAAGATGACTTGGTTCGTTAGGGGGGAACTGGAGCACACCCGCCCTGTTGGGTCTGGTGGGACAGGTAGAGACCCTTGGCAGTCCCTCAGGTAATGTGGCCCCATGCCATGCAGACGTTCAAGATGATAACCAGTACCTTAAATGGCACCCAAAAGCATATTGGAAGTCAATGCAGCGGTGTAACCCAGGGAAACCTTGGTGTACCCAAAACGGTGCATGGCTCCATTCTGGACCAGTCGAAGCTTCTGAGCGTTTTTCCAGGGCAGTCCCTTGTAGAGCGCCTTATAGCAATCTCATCAAGGGATGAGCCTCTGGCTCCAGGAAAAGGTGCAACTGGTACAGGACATGGATTTGTGCAAAAAACGCCCTAGGTATCACTCCTACCTGCTCTTCAAGCAGGAGCCAAGAGTCCAGGAAGACCCCCAAATTGCACACTGACTGTCTGGGGGAGCACTACCATGTCTAGAGTTAAAAATGAAGCATCCCCAGATCCAGGAGGCCTCAAACCCAAAGCCACCCAGTCTTGCTAGGGTCAAGTTGCACCCGGTTCTCCTCCATCCAGGCAGTGGGCAAGGACCTGGCTGCAAAACCTCCATTTAATGGACTGTTGGGGAGAAGGAGTGTCCATTAAATCTGAATTTGCATTTGGGGGGTTGCTTTGACATTTAATCTCAGGTTGTCTTCATTTCTATGAAATGTTAACTCTACTTCTTTTCTCTCTTCCCCATCCCCCTACCTTCCAAAATCTTATTTTTGCAAGGCAGGAAACATTTCTCACGCCTTAAGGCTGTCCCAGGAATTTCTTCACTACGGTATGTGCTTCTCGAAAAGAAATACCCAGATTCATCTGGTCTGTCTGCAGAATGTTACGAACGCCACACTTTCTGTGTTAGTGTTCCTCATACATTCCATCACATCTTAGCTGCCAAAGAAATACTGTATTTACCCGAAAAGGAGGTGACCCTGAATTTAGATTCCAAAATTCCGAAATACCTTAAAGATTAGAGAGAAGAAACTCAGCTCCTTCCATTCCTGTATTCTCAGCAAATAGGACAGAGTTTTAAAAGTGAATTAGCTAGGAAAAAATACAGTATAGCCTTCCTTTTGGGTAAAATATGGTTATTTGCACCTGAATCCTAAACTTTAGGGAATTAAGAATGAGAAGAACATATTCAGCATCACACTTTTGTTCTAAATTTGCTAATCAGGAAGCAGTGCAGTTTCCCAAAAATAGCTTACTCACGACTAATGTAGAATTAAATAATCTCAAATTGCTTAACTTAGAATGGTCTGTATGGGATTAATATACCATCAGAAAAAGCTTGGAAGGAGGCATTTAAAGCGCTCCTTAATTTTTTTTTCCCAGTTGGTAAGTGGTGTCCTGCACCATCGTTAGTTTCAGACGCTGAGTCAAACTGCAGTCAGAGGGTCAGGAAGAGCAAAAACATTTTTCTAGCCAGCTGGCAATTCATCCCTTTGCTCAAGAAAAAGGACTACAAACATGCAGCCGTGCACCAGGGTTTTTCAAACTGTGTTCTGCAGAACTTGATGGGGTCCTACGAGAGATTAAGGGCAAGAAGAACAAATCCACTCCGACGCAACTGGAGCATCTGTAGCAGTTTTCAGGAGCGTCTGTAGGAGATGGTCAAAAAAGTGAAGAGGGCAGTCACAGCGGCGTGATTGAAGCTGTGCCGGTTTTTTATTTGTGCAAGTTCGATCACACCGTGGCATCCACCATTCTGACTTTTTTGACCACACGCTGCAGTCCCCCTTGGTGTTTTTCTCAAGAAAAAACAACCACCCCATTCACTGAACATTGGTTTGTTTGGCTAAAACCTTAACCTCCCTAGTAATTGGGAAATTCATCATTTTAATGTTTCTACATTGGAAATATTGCTTCTGCATTTACAATAAACTCTTTACTTTTTCTACTTACAAGAAGTGGAGGAACTTTCTGGGACAGAAATTGGAGTAGCCCTTTTCATGAAAATCAAATGACTATCAATTTGCAGAAATAAATTACAACAAGCATAAGTTTCGCCTTCTTGCCAGTTTTCTGGGGGTAGATTTTTGCCTCTTGATTAATGTTCCCATTTTTTTTAATTAAGAAGTTCCAAAGCCTGAAAATTCTGAAACCCCCAGCCCTATAATGTAATATACGAATTGCTGTACAATATCTGGGCTGCAACAGTTGAGAGGACCACCAGATGGCAGCGAAGGGACAAGTGAACCTCTTAAATATTTGCTGCCAACTAGTGCTCCCCTCGATTTTTGCACCTCAAATATGATAACGCCTGTTATTAGTCACACTTCATTATTATTCTTTGGGTTTGGATGAAGGTTACCAACTTTCATTTTACCTGCTCTGTTCCTGTGCTGTCAATAACACCTTGATGCGCAGCTCAAGATGTCCTGGCTATGGGTCCTGGGGAAAAGCGGGGGCTTCGTCAATTTCAATGTGCCAGAGCACTATTAAAGGCAAAGGACAAGGAGAAAAAGAAAGAAAAATCTTCTGTCCGGGTTTGGAGGATGGTTGGGACAGATTCTTCTCTTCACCAGATCCAGGCAATGAGCGGATGGCGAGGAATGTCCTGAAGTATGAGAAGCTTCTGAGGACGAATCAGGAGGAAGGCAAAGAAAGGGTGACTTTGCAGAGACCCAATGTGACCCACCTGGAGACTCGAGATGCTTATGAGAAGCTGTGCCAGAGGCTGGGGTCTCAGGTGGGTGAGACATGGGGGCCTTACCTATGGGAGATGGTTTTCGGATGGTCCTTGGTGCTCTCTGAGCTGGGTGGTTGCTTGCAGACGTTTCATGACCCAACTAGGGAACATCATCAGTGGGAGGGGAGTGTGGGGTTTTCTGCATCTTTATACACAGTGTGGGTGGGGTGTGGTTTCCTTCTTGGTGGTTCCTTGATTAGAATATTGTTTTCCACCTGATGGTTTGTCTGGCGCTGATCCCTGCTTATCTGACTGTTGGCCGCTGGAGGGGACGTTTTTGTTTCCTTCTTAGCTTTTTCATTGTCTCTTTTGAATGGTGTGTACATGTGGCTTATTAAATTCTGCAAGCCGACCACCAAGCTCAGAGAGCACCAAGGATTCCACGGTTCAACCCTGAGCTACAGAGATCCTTTTCTGTTGGAAGAAGCATTTACCGCAGGACCACAAAATGATGTGTTCCTGGGCGTAAGCACCTCTGAGCGTAGTGAGACCTACTGTGTTTATTTTACTTACTTATGGATGTCTCTACGTACCAGATCTATAACGTGCCTTTTCCCGGGAACACCATGGGAATCTCCTTTCACTTTATCCCTACAATCACAATCCTGTAAGGTAGGCTGCGCTAAAGGAGAGGGTCTAATCCAAACCTTCCTTGGCAGAGAGTGGGACTTGAACGTGGGTCTCCCCAATCCAAGACTTTCACCACTCTGACTTCCTTAGAGTTAGATTCTGTTGAATCCCAATTCATTTCTAGCACTGTCTCTAGTCCTCATGAATCTCCCAACAGCTCCTATTGGCTTGCAAAGGAAAATTAACTGTGAAATAGTCTCTGAGCAGCTGGGAGGGGATTTTTAGCGGTAGAAGGCAAAGAGCAAACCCCCTCTCCCCAAACCAAGCTGCATGAGTGGTGTAGCTCTCAGAGACCCCAAATGTTACCTGTGGCCCAAGGACAGTCTCTAAATAAATAATCCAGGGGGTTTATAAAAGTCAAGCTGGCGGCTGCAACCGCACGCATGAAGCCCTGCCTGTTTTTTACATGTCGTAAAAAACGGGCGGGGCTTTGTTCATGTAGTCACAGCCACTAGCTTGACTCTTTTGACCCCAACCCCCTGAGGATCCCCCTGGAATCCCCCTCCCCACCAAAGTCCCTCTTTGAGAGAAGCCACCACGGCTACCGATCAGAGGTTTACTGCTCCTAAGGAAAAAAAATTCATCAAGGGAAGCTTGGTTCTCCGCAAGATGAATGGCAGAAGAGATGGAAGTCTTAGAGATCACCTAGCCCAACCCCTTCGGCCCACTCTGCCCCTTTCTCAAGCCGTCGTATTTTTCCCCCCTTGCTGGTAGCCCTCTGCCGAAGTATTTGGGCCCAGCCCAGCGCCCTTGGGTTGTGGCTTTGCAAAACGTTGCCCTGTCCTCCTTTCAGCCAGCCCCTGATCGCCTCTCCTGCTCCTACGAGACCAACCGGAGCCCTTTGCTGATCCTGCAGCCCCTGAAAAAGGAAGCCTTGCACAACCACCCTGAGCTGGCCCTGTACCATGACTTCGTCAGCCCCTCGGAGGCGGAGAAAATCAAGGCGCTCGCGGCTCCAGGGGTAAGTGGAGGCGGCGGGCTGGTGCCACGGCGGCGCTTGTCCTCTTCCGCAATTCTCCTGCTGACAAGGGAGTCCAGCTTGAGGTCAGCAGGTGGGTTGGGCCCGAGAGAGGCAGGGACTAAACACATCAGTCCAGGGATTTATGCAGCCCTCAGTGGCCCTCTGCTCTTGCCGTCATGCCCACTGAGAAACAGCTGGCGCTGCCGGGCTGAATGGGCTGGGTCAGCAGCACCCACAGCCAGCGCATGTATTGGGGGCCTTCCCAGGAGATCCATGGGGAGGCGCCAGGTTTCAAGGGGTGGTGCAGTTGAAGCCCCGCCCATGTTGCCAGGTTGACTTTCTGGACACACACCTGCCCCCATGGATGACCGTCCACCTTACGGTTGAGAAACGTTGCAATAGAGGACGGCTGAATTGCAGAGTGTCCCACAAAGGGGGAAATATGGTGTGTTTCCTCTTGTTCTAATTCAGGTGAGCCACCGAATGCCAGTTCTTCTAGAGGGCCCTCATTTCTTGTGCCAGGAACAGTTAGAATTATTTTAAGTTAATTGGCTGATATTCTCCATGAAATTGGCATAAAGATTATTTCAAGTTTGATTCCTGGTGGCTTCATGGAGAGCCCCACACCGATTTCCCAGCAGAAATTCACAAGTGCTTTGCTGCTGCTGGTTTTTATTATCGGGGGGGGAGAGGTTGGACATCCCAGTCCCACCTATAACTCTAGGTTTTCCTTGTGGCGTCCTATCCAGGCACAAACCAGGCCAAACCTTGGTTAGCTAGATGAGAGCAGTGTCACCAAGTCAGTTATGGATTTGCAGAGAGAATGCACTGAATTTAGCCAATGTGATTCTTTGCATTTTAGCTCAGGGCAGACCTCAACACTCAAGTTCAAAACTTCAACATATCCACAAATTTTCCTTTTCTGGCTGGCACTAGTTGGCACCTACTCTACCTTTTTTCTGGGTTGAGATATAGCCATCTCCTAGGTTCCAAATTTGCCTGCCTGCCTGCCTGCCTGCCTGCCTTCCCCATCTCTCCTTCCTGTTTCCATTTCTCCTTCCTTTTCCTTCCTTCTTTCCTTCTTTCCTTCTTTCCTCCCATTTCCATCTCTGCTTCCTGTTTCCATTTCTCCTTCCTTTTCCTCCCTCCCTCCCTCCCTCCCATTTCCATTTCTCCTTCCTGTTTCCATTTCTCCTTCCTTTTCCTTCCTTCTTTCCTTCTTTCCTTCTTTCCTCCCATTTCCATCTCTGCTTCCTGTTTCCATTTCTCCTTCCTTTTCCTCCCTCCCTCCCTCCCTCCCATTTCCATTTCTCCTTCCTGTTTCCATTTCTCCTTCCTTTTCCTTCCTTCTTTCCTTCTTTCCTTCTTTCCTCCCATTTCCATCTCTGCTTCCTGTTTCCATTTCTCCTTCCTTTTCCTCCCTCCCTCCCTCCCTCCCATTTCCATTTCTCCTTCCTGTTTCCATTTCTCCTTCCTTTTCCTTCCTTCCTTCCTTCCTTCCTTCCTTCCTTCCTTCCTTCCTTCCTTCC